TTTTGACTCTGAGAAGCCACGGCATGCCATCACAAGCAGCCATCATTCACGTGTGGGGGAAAAATTTACAATAAATATTTAAGTGCTCTGTGGAAACAAAAAAAATGCAGGTTGCAAATTCTTCCCAGCGCAACTAAACGCCAATTTGTGCAAACACGCCTGTCATGACGCGGACCCTGATTCCTATAGATTCCTATCGCTCTAACACAACATCAAAGTCACTTCCTGCCAAACGGGGGTTTTATGTAGAATGTCGCGAGACATTATCTTCCCGCTGTCTCCAGCAACAGTCGCTCATGCGTGGTGTGGTGACAGTCCGCGGTCGAGCCAGCCCCCACCCCCCACCGCTGGCACACGGCCAGGTACGTCTCTCTTTGTCTCACCTGATGATGGCAGACAGTCGTCAAGGCGGGGCTGCACTATGCTGAGTTTGTCTGACAACTTTCCCTGTATTTGCAAGTGTGTTTGGGTGCTTTCATGTATAGATACAGGGACCGAGTATTGTGATATTTTACTTCACAATATGGTACAGATGTTATCACTGCCAAAACTTTTTTCCACCGGTGTAATTTTAATATCACTGATAAACTATTATAATTTGTTAACATTTTTATGTCTATTTTTTTTTTTATGTTTTAATTTAAAATTTTAGTTACATTTTTTGTAATTTTGTGTAATTTGTCATATCAGTTTTTCTTCTTTTTTTTTTTTAAATGCTTGTATAGTTTTAGTTTTTAGCTTTAGTCTTTTAGTATTATTTTAGTATTTTAACAAATTAAATGAAAATGAGAAATGCTGCCTTGGCAACTAGCTGAAATAAAATATTTTTTTTATACTTTTTTTCCCCAAGTAATGAACTGTTTTTAGGGTTTTGGTTTTAGGTAACAATAATAACCCTAGTTTGCGCAATAATATTTTGAGGAAAAAGTACAGTGACATACAAAAATCCAAACTCAAACGGAGTTAAAATTGTAGTTTGGGGCCAATGAGATTTTCTTTTAAAATAAATTAATCATTTTATTTTGCAAGGATGCAATAAATTGATCAAAAGTGACAGTAAACGCATTTACATTGTTAGAAAAAAAACTATATTTCAAATAAGCACTGCTTTTAACTTTCTATTCATGAAAGAATAAATGCATAAATAGAAAAGTTAGTTTAAATTGTAATTTCACAATATGAAGGTTTTTACTGTATTTTGTCTTGCTGAGTATTAGAGATTGCTTTCAAAAAAAAAAATCTGACTCTAATTGTATGAAAATTGTTAATAACTAAACAAGAAAAACATCGTAATATTAACCTATCATGAACCAGATATTAATAAATGATCCCTGATGATTTCCACTAGTAGCAGTAGACTCATATATTCATCAGGCAATAATCTGTGGTCATTTTGATTGAAAAAAAAAATCAGTTTTCAAATAATTTATAGTGAATTCTCAAATACTTTCAAAAGTGTATTTTGAGTGAAATGTGCACACCTCACTCAAATGTGCACAATTTGAGGTATCATTCATGCACAATAACACAGGACAAGCAGTGAGAAATGAGTTTTTGGTTGGAAAATGTAATAGTTTGAATGAGCAATAATAATAGTGATGTCTGCCTTAGCTCACACCGCTAATAAGTGTCCTGTCCCAGCTCAGCGCTGACAACAAATGCATGCAGTGATGAAAAACAAGGTCAAAGCCATGGGTGTGCGAACTCAAAGACGTGAGTCAGTGATCAGCTACTCCTGCCAGGAAGTTTCTGATTGAAGAATGAGATGCAAGAATGAGATAGAAGTGCTCACTCGCTCTTTGTCCTGACATTTACTGGACGATTGGGTTCTTTGTGTTGATCCCTAAATAAAAGCAGATAAAGCATCTAACTGTGTGTTCTGTTGTCACTGTATTAGCAAGGCATGGTTGAATTTTAATGATGTACAGAGCGTGTAGTGGCAAGCATCCCACGAACATGTCACAGCTGATGTATGGGGCTGGGGCGGAGCTGGGGATATGATTCAGCATTTATAATCGTCAACAAAATCATCTACAAAAACAACATTCTTAATGGCTCTGCTCCAAAACCTAGCAAGCTGCCTTACTGGACACCACCTACATAGAGAGCTGACAGCATCCTAACTGATAAAAAAACACAGATCTGGATCGCTCTACAGTACATGCTTGGGCTGCACGAAACATCAAAATAAAATCACTTTAAATAAATATGCATCATTTGACACTTTTTATAACTAAACAAATAAATAAATAACTAAAGAAAAAGCATCAAATTAATATGTAGGCAGCTATTTTGTGATAATCTTCGCCCCATGTTTATCTTTTATCTCAAAAGGCACTTTTATTCCAAATATATGATATCTTATAATCCAAATATTCGTACCTGCGTCCTGTTGAAAGCCACACGGGCGAACACGGCCTGGGAGATTCCCGCCCTCTTCAGCTCGTCTCTGACCCACTGGTAGATCTCCAATGAGACCTCGGAGTTGCTGGACAGCTGCGCGTCCAGCGGTTTGTTGAGCGCGCGGCTGACGGGCGGGTGGTTGAGGTACTGCTGGCTCAGGGACTGCTGGGCCAGGAGACGGTTGACGGCATACTGCTGGTTGAGGATCTGAGCCATGACGATCTGCTGATTCACCAGCTGAGGGCTGATGGGGGTGGACACCAGGCCGGGGTGCAGACCGGGGAGCTGAGCGCGGCCGGGGGCCTGACTGCTGTGGGACAGGGGCACCGGGGATGGGGACTGCTCGGCCGTGCTGCCTGGGATGGGTTGCTGACTGAAGCTGAGGTGGTTGGTTCCGGGTGGAGAAAGATCAGACAGACTGTCCATCTCAGCTATAGGTGGACACAAAGAAGATGAAGCATGTTAATAAACAGGGTTTGGCTTGCCTCAATAAAAGCTGCTGATGATGTTAGTTTAAACAAAAGCTCAGTTTTCAAAAAAAAAAAAATATATATATAACAAAAACATCTTTTTTCTTTTTTATAAATAGTTAAAATAAGTAATTGGTCACAAAATCTGTGGCATTTCATGATTTTAGATACTAATTTCAATACCACAGCATCTAATATGCTACTGAATCTACTCCTTCATTAAAAAAAGTGAAATATTAATATAAATATGAACAAATTAAATTAGTGGCATGTAGTGCAAGCATTTCTCAATTAAGTAAATATTGTTTCAAGTAATTATTCATGTAAACAGTCATTTATAGAGAACACGGTGAGTGCTTTTCTCTTTTTCTTGTCAATATTGCGTTGTTGGATTCATATAACAACAAAATAGACAGTGGTAGGTCTATTAAGTCTAATGCAGAGAGACATTTTGATAGAAATCTGATTTTTACCTTTCCTGTTTACACTGACTTTAAGATGAAGTGACATTGTTTACATTCGTATCTCATAAACATTTTTTCCAAACGCAATTAAAAATTGTATTACATATTAACATAAAAAAAAATTAAACAATTTATGTAAGTATCACTTGGGTAACAAAAGCACTTTTGCCATTACTAACACATAATAAAAGTTAGAACTGAATTAAAAAAGAAATAAGAAAATAAATATTTTATATAAAGTAATATAACAAATATATGAAGAAAAAAAATACAGAAACTATAACTTAACTGGACAAATGGGCATGACAATATTTTCTAAATGAGCGATTAATTGCCTTATCACTACTCTATGATGAACAGAAGTCATCCCAAAACACATCAATATCAAATAGCAAACACTTTCATAATAAGCTGGACATGACCTGAAGTCAAAAAGCAAACGCTTTAAGCTAAAAAAACACTAATCAAGCCCGTTCCAGCCTGCCATTACTACAGTAACCCAGTACAACCTCGCTAATATAATGGGGCACAGTGTGTGACCTGTATCTGCATAAATTGGCAGCACTAGAAATTAGTTTATAATGTCCATGGCCAAATCATGTGAGCAATAACAACAAGCCAGTGTGGGTGCTCGGCTAAAGCAGCGAGCAGGACGTCTTCACATGGACCGAGCCAGAGAGCCATACACTTGAATCGTCCTTTATGCTCTTAATTTTAAAACAAGGTACACAAGCTGGCTAATATGAAATTTTGGGAAAGTCTAAATATAACTGTGTTGCGCTGGAAGCCCAGAGTACGGCCTTTAAAACAGGCCAGACCGAGCGGATTGAAAATATGGCAACTATTTGATGCCATTAAATGATTTTGATTCTTTTAAATCGATAAGTTTAGTGTTTAGCGGCTAATAGGCTTGAAAATCTGAACATTAAAAAGTGTTTATGAATGTATGGGTC